AGTTTTGTTTGGAGCAGATTGGTAAAGAGCATGAAGAACATGAAGCCATCCCGCTCTCCTTAGAGCAAGCCCTGCCTCCAGAATCAAAGGAAGAAAATGCTGAGCCTGTGAGCCAACTGTGGGTCCATATCCCTAGTGGCGATTTCCTAGAGTGGCATTTTCTGGTTAGTAAGAAGCTACAGATTGTCCTTGATTTTGTAACTTCCAAAGGATATGCATGGGATGAATTCAAGTTACTGAGCACCTTTCGTAGGAGAGATGTAACACAGTTGGATCCAAATAAATCCTTATCAGAGATAAGGTTGTTCCCTCAAGAAATTCTTTTCCTTGAAGCAGAGGAGTAACACATGGTCCATTGGTGGAACCAGCCATTCCTTGACAAGTCCCAGGCCTGCTTCAGGAGAAGGGCTTCTAGCCAACCCACCCACATGCTCGTCTCATTCAATTTAATGTCACACTTCTGCCTTTTGCAAGATTGCTGGGGGGAAAAATGGGGGGGGGGAGGAAGAATATATAAAAACCTTTTAAAAATGTCCAGCTCTGGTCTAGTTGTCTTCATGAACTACTAACTCCTTTACCATGAGACCATAAGAACTGGATGGTGCCTGGTTAGCCTTGTTGAATGTTTTGCTCAAGTACCCAAGAAATGAGTTCAGATCAAAAGGAAAGAAACTGTGGTACAGAATTTCTAATTTATTTTAGAATCCAGGCTTGTGATCCATTGGAGCTGGAAGAATCTTGGAATCTCCTACCCTGGGGAAATTTTTGAAGCTTGAACTGAAACTATGTCCCCTGATGAAGCCATCTTCAAACTAGATAATAGTATAGCTGAATTAGTGAAGAGTATTTACCTTGAACATTGTGCTTTTTAAAAGAATTAAAATACTAACTCTTAAGAATAAAGGAGTAGTTTATGGGGCAATGAGCTGAAGTCAGTGATGGTATAATATGGGGAGAGGATTGCAAGACTCATCTACAACCAGGAGAGAATAAAATACATGAATTGGACCTTCTAAGAATCAAATCCCTATGCACATCAAAAACCTACTCCACCGGAGTAAAAAGGAAAGCCACAGACTGGGGGAAAAATATTTGGCAATGACATATCTGATAATGGATTCATATCTAAAATTTATAGAATACCACCTCATAGGAACATCTCAGGAACAGGTTTGAGGCCTTGAACACTAATGAGCGAAGACCTAATGAGTTGTGGGAGGATGTCAGATATATTATCCAGGAAGAATGCAAACAGTCATTACAAAGACAGAAGAGAAAAAAAAAAAAGACCAAAATGGATGTCAGAAGAAACTCTGAAGATTGCACTGGAGTGCAGAGAAGCCAAAGCACAAGGAAGAATTCAAGATACAAAAGAGCTGAAAAGAAGATTCCAAAAGGCAGCACGGGATGACAAAGCAAAATATTACAATGAAATGTGCAACGAGCTGGAGTTGGAAAATCAAAAGGGCCGAACTCATTCAGCATTTCTTAAGCTCAAGGAACTGAAGAACAAATTCAAACCTCAGGTTGCAATAATCAAGGATGCTTTAGGCAGAATATTAAATGATCCAGGAAGTATTAAAAGAAGATGGAAAGAAAATACTGAGTCATTGTATCAAAAGGAATTGGCAGACACGGAAGAATTTAATGAAATAACATATGAGCAAGAGCCTATGGTGATGAAGGAAGAAGTTCAAGCTGCTTTGAAGGAAATAGCAAAAAATAAGACCCTAGGAATAGATGGTATACCAATTGATGTATTTCAGCTAACAGATGCTGCCCTGAATGTGCTCACCAAGTTGTGCCAAGAAATCTGGAGAAAAACCACTTGGCCAACTGACTGGAAGAGACTATATTTGTTCCCATTCCAAAGAAGGGTGACCCAACAGAGTGTGGAAACTGTAGAACAATATCAATGATTTCACATGCAAGCAAGATTCTGCTGAAGATTATCCAAAAACGACTAGAACAGCACATCAGGCTGGGTTTAGAAGGGGTCGTGGTACTAGGGATATTGTAGCTGATGTTAGATGGATCTTAGCTGAAACAGGAAATGCCAGAACAATGTCAATCTATGTTTCACTGACTATGCAAAGGCGTTTGACTGTGTGGATCATAACAAACTATGGCTGACTCTGAGAAGAATGGGAATCCCAGAGCCCTTGATCATGCTAATGCGAAACCTATTCTTGGACCAAGAGGCAGTCGTCAGAACAGAGCAGGGAAACACTGCATGGTTCAAAATTGGGAAGGGTGTACACCAGGGATTTGTCCTCTATACCTTTTCCACCTGTATGCAGAACAGATTATCCGAGAGGCTGGGCTCTATGAGGAGAAGTGTGACATCAGGATTGGCAGAAGCTCTATTAACAATCTGCATTATGCAGATGACCCAACCTTGCTTGCTGAAACTGAGGAGGACCTGAAATCCTTGCTGCAGAGGGTCAAGGACTGCAGCCTTCAGTATGGATTGAGGCTCAATGTTAAGAAGACAGATTCTCACTACTGGACCAACTGGCAGCACCAGGATGGATGGTGAAGAGATTGAGATTGTTAACAACTTTAGTCTGCTTAGCTTCATGGTAAAAAATCTTGGCACCAGTAGCCAGGAAATAAAATAAAACGTATTGCAATGGGAATGTCTGCTGTTAGGGACCTCTCCAAAGTACTGAAGAGCAGTGGTGTCACTCTGGAGACTAAGGTGCGTCTGATACAGTGCCATGGTCTTTGCAATCACTTGTTAATGCATCAGAGAGTTGGGCAGTGACTAGGAAGGATAGAAGGAGAATTGATGCCTTTGAGCTGTGGTGCTTGGAGAAGAGTATTGAATGTACCATGTACTGCCAAGAAAATAAACAGATTCATCCTGGAGAGGGTTAAACCAGGCTGCTCCTTGGAAGCAAGGATTCTGGGGCTTCATCTGACATAACTTTGGACATGTAGTAAGGGGGGACAGATCTTTGGAGAGGGACATCATGCTTGGGAGGGTGGAGGGATGGCGCAAGAGGGGAAGATCCTCTATGAGGTGCATTGATTCAGTGACTTGGGTAATCGAGATGGGTGTGTCAGAGGCAGTGCGACTGGCACAGGAAAGAGCAGGGTTTAGGGCTGTTGTACATAGGGTCGCTATGAGTCGCAAGCGACCCAATGGCACATAACAACAACAACTAGCACCTCAACAAGACAAAGGTAAACAACTCAATCACAAAATAGGCACAGAATATGAACAGATATTTCACCAAAGAAGACATTCAGATGACAAACAAACAAATGAAGAAATGTTAAAAATCCCTAGCTATCAGATAGATACAAATCATGCCAGCAATAATAACAAAACTCAACATGACAGAAAACAGCAAATGCTGATGTGGTTGTGGAGAGAGTGGAATACTTACTCACTGTTGGTAGGAATGTAAAATGGTACAACTGCTATGGAAGGGAGTATGGTGCTTTCTCAAAAAGTTAGAAATACCCTTTGACTCAGCAGTTCCACTTCTGGGACTATACCCTAAAGAAACCAGAGCCTTAACTCAAACAGATTTATGCACACCAATGGTTATTGCTTCATTATTCTCAATAGCAAAGAGATGGAAACAACCCAAGTGCCCATCAACTAATGAATGGATAGAAAAACTATGGTACATTTACATAATGGAATATTACACAGTACTGAAAACGCAATGAACGTACGTCAGCTCTGAGTCAATTCTGACTTAATAGTACAATATTAACACTATAAATTATTTTTCCTTTCATTTTACTGCCTATTTGCTGCATATATAAAGGAGGAGTACAACTTATTTTTGATGTTTGATATTCTATCCCTTAAACTTATAAGCTTACTTAGTAATTATAATAATTTCTCTGTAGATTCTTTTAAATACAAAATTAAATAATCTCTGAAAAAGGAAAAAAAAACCGAAAACAATGAACTCATAAAAATGACACAACATGAGTGAACCTGGAGGACTTTATGCTGAGTAAAATATCTCAGTCACATAAAGACAAATACTGTGTAACACTGTTGTCATAAAATAGGGCAGATATGGGAGGTTGAGAAGAGAGTAGGAAAAGAGTAGATAGATCATGAACATTGCATTGGAACAGATGAGGGGAACAGCAGCTGTAAAGGAATATATGATTAGGTATTATATGCATGACAACAGTCTAGAATGTTGCAAGTTGACTATGGTGGGGAGGGAAGAAAATATGCAACAGTGAATGAATAATGAATAAAAACAAACAAAAAGTATGTAATGTATGTTTTCACCAAAAAGAAAAATGTCTTGGTTCTGTAACTAAGGTGTATTGACAAAGTTTTTTAAACTCTCAGAGTTCCTCAGTATTTTTTTGAAAGGGTGAAACTTTATAATAATTATGTAACTGTATATTCTAATATTTTATTAACTCATCAGGTATTTATTTGCTTCCTATTGTTCTTTAACCCTATGGGATACATTCTAGTGGAACTAAGGAATCCATTTCCTTTTATTCTGAATCAGTTGTGCATTTTTAATTTTAATTTCCGTTACCAAATCTGCTACTGGTCAGATCCTGGTAAACTACCAAGCATGTTGTCCTTTTTTATTGGTTTAACAGTTTCTCAACCTCAGCATCGTTGACATTCCGAGCTGGATAATTCTTTGTTGTAGGAGTTATACTGTACATTTTAAGATGTTTAGCAGCACTCCTGGCCTCTGTCTACTAGATAACCATCAAGTTGTAATCTACCCATAGTTGACCCTCCAGCACGTTTTCAAAGACAGTTAATCATAGGGGAAGAGATTGCCTATCTTTCTCCCAGGGAGCAGTGGGGGAATTCGAACAATGTGCCTTTGGTTGGTAGCCCAACTCCTTAACTAAGCCACCAGAGCTCCCAAAAGCACTCCACTAGATGTGACAACACATCTATCCACACATTGACAGGCGCTCTCCCCCACCCAATTTGTGAACCACTTCTTTAACAGTTATTCCCTTTCCTTTTACCTTTTCTTCCATAGTCATGACTCAGAAGAGAACCACCAAGCAACTGAGCCAGATCAACTTCAGACTGCCCAAGAAGGAAGGACTCTCTTTTCTCGGTGGCCTTAGGTCTAAAAATGACACTCTTTTCCGATCTAATGTCTGTATCAATGGGAATCATGTTTACATGGAGCAGCCAGAATCCAAGAGTGAGACCAAGGACAGCACTCCTTCCTCCTTTCCATCTCCCCAGGGCTTCAAGAGGAAGCATTTGTTCTCATCTACAGAAAATCTGGCTTCCTGGTCTGGTAAGGAGCCTGGAGAAGCAGGTGGCATGGCTTCTGACAGGCAGCTCTCCGATTCTGCCACCAAAGACTCTCTAAAATCAATGTCGCTGCCATCCTACCGACCACTAGTCAGTGGAGACATTAGGGGAAATGCAGCCCCAGCAAACTTGGAGGCTGCAAAGGAAACCAAAGAGAACAGGAAGCAGGAGAACAGGAAGTCCTCTTTGCTTTCTCTGGTGACAGGCAAGAAGGATGTGGCTAAGGGCAGTGAAGGTGAAAGCCCTCCTTCTGTCCCGGAGACGGAAAAAGAAAGCACACTCCCCGAAATCAAACCAAAGGAGGAGCCTGTTAAAAACACTGTGAAAAAATCCGAGAAAGATGTTCCAACTATTGTCTCTGAATGGGGTAAATCTCTGAATCCTTTTGAAGAAATGCAGATCACAGGACCAGAGGCTGAGCCCGAGTCCACTTCTGAATCTAAGCTGCCTATCCCTTCCCCACGGGCTCCCCAGACCAAGGCCGTCAAACCTCGGTGAGTCTTGGGTCTTTGCCCACAGGGCCATCCACCTCACTGCTCATGGTATTCAGCAGGGGTTGACGTCAAAGCACATGTTGCTTCTTACTCTGTGGTGGTACGTATATGCCACGGGCTTAGTAGTCTGAGTTGCTTGTTGGTTTTTTAACCAGTCCCGACTTCCTACCTGGCCTGTGCTATACTAATGAAAATTATGTTTCCAGCTCAGCGCCACTAGTCTAGCAGGCATGACCTGTCCCTTACAGTGTGATAATCAGACCCTCGTGGAAATACACACCATGGTTTGTAGCAGGTTTTGAGCGTTGCAAGTTTGCTTTAGTTGTGATACGTTGGGATGTGCAGAACGTGTGTTCATGAAGTTCTTGTTGCACACTTCCCTGTCAGGCAGAAGTTATCTCTTCTCTTTGCACCCTGGCACATTCATTTGCTAGCATGAGGGACCCTTGAGCCACTCCTGAGTGTATTGTGACGATTCTCTGTATGTTTACTCTGTTGCAAGAACCTTAGGGACCTTTCTGCTTTTTGGCATGACTCATATCCACACTGACTACTTCTGACACACTGACACTGAGGGTGTCAGAGATTCTTTTTTGGAGATTCTGCTTACTTTGATCTGACACACACATACACAACTCTCTCTCTGTCTATCTCTCTGTCTCTCTTCCTTTTCAAAATCTGTGCCTGTTGCTTTATTCCATCTTTTCTGGCTCTAAACTTTTTAGATGCTTTTGTCCTGCAGTAGTTGAATACTGGGCTTTGCGTTTATCTCTGCAAGAAACTATAGGCTGTTGCTTTCCCTGGATCTCCCCGTTACTATTGCAACAGACCTCTGTGTGGCAGATGTGCTTGGTGATAAAAGTGTCCCTATTGTGTGTTTAGTTTTAATGTTCTTTCTTCAGTGTCTTAGGATTCTGACCCAAAATGTTAATATTCAGCCATTTTGAACAACTTTAGTTTTATTTGTTTTTGGATCTCTCACGATGCATCTGCAACTGACCTGCAGATTTTATTTTGTCCTTTTTACAGACTGGAAGTGTCTCCAGAGGTTCACCCCAAAGCCAGGCTTCCTTCTTCCTCCGACCCGCCTCTCTTTTTTTCTGCCCTCTCTTCTGGCTCTGGTCAGTCCTGTCTACCTTCTGCATTGGAGCATAATTTAGAGACACAGTCCTCTGAAGAGCCTTCTGTCTTCTCCTCGCTCTCATCTTCCATAGTGGCTCCCCTTTCCACGTCCACTCCTATTGGAAGCTGGCCTTCCACAGGTGAGAGCCAAGCCAGCTCTGAAGAGCCATCTTTCCATCTTAAAGCAGGGATGCAAGAGGATAGTGTGACACAAGTTCCAAATACTGTTTCTTCTGTCTCAAGATCACTTTCCACCCCCCTACCCACTCTACTGTGTGAAGACTGTCCAGTGGGGCACACCAGTGAGGTGGACAAAGAGAAGACCACTGAGGAGGAGGAGTCCGGAAACTATCTCTGGGAGGAGCCTTTACCGGGGCAACAAGAAGAGCAGCTTCAGAGGTTTTCCCCTGAAAGAGAAAACGATGCTCCTTCATCTGAAGAGGGTCAAGAAAAAACATTTGCTCTTTCAGTCAGAAGTGCCAGGATGGGAAGCTCAGCAGGGAAGGTTTGGATGGGAGAAGGCACACAATTTGAGACTCAGTCTACAACTTTGGCAGAGAACAAAATTAGAGCAGGTGAAATGACTTCTTCACTCAAAGAAGTGGCATCACTTCCAGAAGTGAGAGAACCGGATCCCTCTCTCGATTCAGTCACACAGAAACATGAAGAGAGGGGTCTGGATGCCCGTAACAACCAAAAGAAAGCCAAGAAACGTGTGTCATTTTCCGAACAGCTCTTCACAGAAGACAAGGTGGGGAGGTCTACTGAAGGTGGAGAAGAGGACCACAATAATCCTCAGGAGCTGAGTCAGGAGGCTGCCACTGGCAGTGCACGTGACAAGGAGTCTGCGTCTTCCCACACAGAAGACTCAGAGAGGGAAGCTGTGTCTGAAGCCAGGCTGTTGGGTTCTGATGTGCCAGCCCCCATGGTGGATCGTGAGGAGAATTTCTCCAAGGGCCCCACGGGGAAAGGAAGCTCAGAGAAAGACACTGGACTCATCAGGGCTGAGGGAAATGACACCCTGATGGAGCAGTTTCAGAGCAAAGCCAGCGATCACGAAGGCCTACTGTCTAATCCCCTGAGTGATCTGCAGTCCACTGCAGATGTCAGATCTCCAGTCTTGACTGATCTGGATCTAACCCTCCCTTCTATTCCTGAAGTCGCATCTGATGATGAAAGGGTAGACCAGGTTGAAGATGTCAGAGAAACAGCAAAGGTGGTGAGTCTGGAAGTAAGAGCTTCCTGCTTGGGAACTTTACCTCACTGTCCCAAGGAGAAAACTGAGTTGAGTGGTGTGAGAGAAGGTGCTGCCGAGAGCCTGAGGGATCTCAGAGCGAAAACTCCCACAGCGTCTCCTGCAGCGTCTGTGACGGCTTTGTCTGAGCAAACTATAGCTTTAGGAATTCATAAACCACATCTTGGCGAGAGCTCAAGCTCAGATAAACAGCTGCCGGGCCCTGGCAGGGAGGAAGAAGAAAAGCTGGAGGGAAATGGGAGGCCGAGCCAGCCGCCTGGCATGGCCCTAGACTCTCCTATTTCCAGTCCCTCCCTTTCTGAGCCCTTTTCTTCCAAACACTCTTTCCCTCACACTCCACATTCTGACACAAACCAAATGAGTACAGCAGAGTCTCAAAAAAAGGCAACAGCAGAGGGCTCCGCTGCTAAAGTTGAAAATTCTGGCAAGAGGAAGCCGGTTCTTCAGGCCTGGGTCTCACCCTCAGAGACACATCCAGTCTCAGCTCAGCAAAGGTGAGAGATGGACAAGATTGTCTTCTTATATGTTAGCCATGTTCCTTCCCTTGTTGTTGTCTTTTTTTTTTTAAATACCTACCGAGGTGGTTACAGTTTTCATGCCACACAGATGTTCTGCCGTTTTGACCAGTCTGTTTTGCTGGTAGGGCTTATTTTAAAAAGGGCCGTCCCCTGTGGTTGAAATATCTCGAGACATCTCTGTGCAGCACAAGCATAATAGTAGTCTTCAAAGACAGTTTAGAAATTGTTGTACAGTGAGATCTTGAGCTCTATAAATTATAGCAGTGTGCTATCATTAGCATTTTTAATAGTCTCAGAAACCAACTGAGATTGTGGTAGAACCTAGCCACATGCAAATGTAAAGCTTCCTCTAAGTTGTGCCTGATGTGAAGCTAGCATGTTTGTTGTGTGTTGTGGAAGAACATAAGTCCACACAGGGACCCCACAGTGGAGTCCTACATGATAGTTATCACCAAAAGTAAGGGACTGTCTTCCATATTCTCCCAGTACTCATAAAGAGGCAAAGGTCTCATGAGAACTCAAGACACTTGGCCAAGGGTATGCTTTCCCAGCTTGCATATGGCTGTCTGGTTCTGACTTCTTTTGTTCTGAGGAACGTAGACATTGGAGAATGTTGGATCAGAGTTGTGAACAGAGTGTGTCACCATCTGCTCTCTTTTTTTGTCCTGCTGAATGCCATTGTTGAGTGAGATGGGCAGTTTCTTGATTATGCCATGATCGAGAGTTCCAAGCCTAAGGATTCCTTTTCTCCTCTTTAGACTTCATCCTGTGAAGCCGATGAACACAGCAGCTACAAAGTTTGCTCTCCCCAGTTTGGGAACTGCCACCATCATCAGCGAGAACTTGATCAATGAAGCCATGACAAAGGTATGTCATCTCTAAGAAGCTGACATGCTAGGAATTTACCAGAGGCCATTTCTTTTTTTTTTTTTTATGTCTTAGGCAACAACCAAAGTTTAGTCCGCAGAAACCTGCCTCTGAAAATTACAACAAAATTCACAGCAAAGGATGTACTATAAAATACAAATTTCTCAGTATGAGGACTTCTGTAGTCTAGTAAAAAGGGAAGATGATTAAAACAAATTTCCTTAAAAACTTTAACACTCTCCTTACATGCCCCTGCTTCTCCACATTCAAACACAAAACTATACAAAACTACAAGGAAAAAGACCAGAGGATGTTATGTTGCAAAGTCTTAGTATCTACTCAAAGCTGCTTGTCCTCACTCAGACCTTCCCTGAAGAGAGTTGAGGGTTCCGAGTCCATTGAGAAAGTAAGTAGTCCTGGATGATCACCGCTGTGTCACCAGACAGCCCCAGATCACTCACTGTCAGACTTAATGGAATTGACCTGTACAGAGATGACACCTCCCTTGTAGCTGCCTCGCTTCTTCTTAGTTTTCTCATGCTGGAAGGATTTGCCTTTGGTGAACTTCAGAACCTGATTGGCTCGTTCCCCCCAGTCTCCAGCTGCACCTCGCTTGGCATAAAAGGAGTTATCTGCCACTCGTGCATCTACCTCAATCTCCTCTTCTCTGACTCTTCGAAATGGGGATGATGCCCTTTTCTCAGTTTTCTTCCTTTTTGGAAATGTGTTGGGGGTCTGGAGCTTCTGCTTTTTCACTTGAGGAGTGCTGGCCTCCTTTGCAACAGAAGGCCATTTCTAGAGTCAGCATTGTATACCTCTCCTTGGGCAATAGGTAACACAGATTTGAGTTTACTTACACTTCTGGTATCTTTGACTAACCTTTGGAAGCCCCTAGATGTTTGCTTGGATAATTACTCTTTCTCTTATAAGGTTTTTAGTTACTTACTTTTTTATGTGTTTCGAGCAATAGTATTGATATCTTCTCTTTTAATTTTTTTAAATTAATATACTAGTGTATTTACAAAATTCAAATACATTATTTTTGAGGGAAATTGGAAGAATTTGTTCTGAATACCTTCTCTTTTTAATGAGATGACAGTGGTATCCACAGTCTGACCCATTGAAAGCAGATGTTTCATTTCCCTATATTGCCTTTCTTGTCTTTCAGAATGTTTAACTGTGTTTGTAGCCATTGTATGAATATACTTTTTTGGTAACTTTGTTTTATAAGAATTTAAAGTTTAGAAAAATGTTGCAAGATCAGGACAAAGAACTCCCCTGTGTCCTTCATCCTGCTTTGCCACTTGGTAACTATTTACCAGATAGGCTTTGTTATCCTCTCCTTTCTCTTTGTTCATTTTCTCACTGTGTGTGTGCTTATACATAATCATACATTTTTTCCCCTCTAAATCCTAAGAATGATGATGTTTTTAAAAATCAGGACATTTACCATTAATATACTGTTTTCTTACTTGTTTTCTACATTGAATTTTTTTTCTTATCTTTGTGTTTTTGTTTGGTATATTTTTTTGCCTCCATCAGGGATTCAATCCTCATTTGCACGCTGCATTTAGTTTTCTTGTCTCTGTTCTCACTCACTGCTATGGAGTGAGTTCTTGATTACCCATGAAAACCCTCCATTAGGTTTCCAGGGCTGTAAATCTTAACAGGAAGAGACTGACTGTCTCTTGAGTTGTGCAAAACAGAACCACTCCATGGGATTTTCAAGGCAGTAACCTTTCAGGGGCAGAACACCAAGCCTGCCTTCTGAGGTGCCTCTGGGTGGCTAGTTGAACACTGACTTAACCGTGCCGCTCAGGGATTCTTCGTCTCTCCTCTCTTGTTGTGTACTGTTGAGTGATTTCAATTCATAACGGCCCCATAAGACATAGTAGAACTGCCTCGTAGGGTTTCCTAGGTCAAGAACTTTTTTGGAAGAAGAGCAGCAGCTTTTTCTCCCAGAATACTGGTGGATGTAGACTAGTGATGTTTCAGTTAGCCACTGCATTTAACCACTGCACCATCAGGCCTCTTCCTTGTTTCTCTAGTCTCCTTTATTTTGGAATATTTCCTCAGTCTTTGTGCTTCAAAATACTGAGGTTTTTAAAGATTATATTATAGGCTTTTTCTCAGTTGGGGTTTGTTTGTTTTCTCATGATTTGGTTAAGGTTATGTTCAGTCTTCGCAGGAATCACACAAATAAATGTTTTAAATTTAATTGTATTTTTGTGTGTGTGTTACCATCAAATTGGATCTGACTGGTACAGGAGGAAATTGCCCCTCTTTCTCCAGCAGAGCATCTGGGGGATTTGAACTCATGTGCCTCTGGGACTGCAGTGCAGCTAGGCCACCAGAGCTCCCTTACCAATAATTTTTTTTCTCAGTGTCTCATTAAGAAGACACACAGTATGGTTTTTGTTCCATCAGTGGGGGTGTTAATTCTGATAACTTAGCTTTGTTGTCTGGCAGTTTCCCTGTTGTAAAGTTCTTAATTTTTTTTTCTTCTTTTACAAATAAGAAGTAGTTTATGGAGAAATAATCTGGCACTATGTAAATGCCCTGTTCCTCATCAAACTTTCACTTCAAACTTTCTATATTGATATCATTGACGAATAAGGTGGTTGCAAAATGATGATTTTCTAAGTCTGTTGTGTGTGTGGAAACACTCTTGAGTTCTCTTTTCCTCTTAATAGTAGGTCAAAATCTTTTTTCCATGTAGCTACTTAATTATATTTTGGAGTGGCATCCACTTCCTAAACAACATGGCTCTGGAAACTCTGTGAACTTACATAAATGTTGATAGTTGTAGAAAGGTTTCAGGCCTTTTGTTCATAGGGTCACTATGAGTCATGCTCAACTCAATGGCAAACAACAACAACAATATACCAATATTTATTTAATCTCACAAGTTCCCTGATTATTGGATATTTTGGTTGGTTTTGTTTTCCAGATGAATAGCACTATCACAATTTCTTGCATAGGAATCTTATGTGTTCTTTTAGATTATTTCATTAAGCTGAATTGCCAGAGAGGCTATTACTACATTAGAGGGTTTTGTCTCTTTAAAAAGACATGAGCTAGTACTGGAAACCAGCTCTACTCCATAAAAACAAAACCTGTCTCCTAGAGTACATCCCTTGATAATCTCTGCTTTGGGATGTCTTCATCCTGCCCTTTCTGACTCTAAAACCAGAAGGATCTAAAACTGACCCTGGTCTTCCCTGACTCAGTGCCATATGGACTAACAGAAAGAATTTCTAAGGAATTTCTTAAGCTTATAAGCCTGTACTGTATTTCAGATATGTGGGGAGGAACTTCCTTACTGACTACTTGGGACTGTAACTTGTATACCTGAACTTTATTTAGAAGAATAATTTTTTTTTGTGTTTTTTTTAAATTTTCTATTTTAATTTGTCATTTTAACAAAAGTTTACAGAAGTTAGATTTTCATTCATTCATTGTTTTACATTTTACCCCCCCTCCTTTCCCCCTCCTTAAGTTGATTTTTTTTCATTAGTTTATATTAGAAGAATAATTTTTTTAAAAAATTATATTTTTTGGTGTGTACTGTCAAATCAGATCTGAATAGTACAGGAGGAGATTGTCCCTCCTTCTCCAGCAGAGCATCTGGTAGATTCAAACCGCTCAATTCTGGGATGGCAGTACAGCTTCTTGCCACTAGGCCACTAGAGCTCACCTAGAAGAATAATTTTTAATGTTTATAGTCAACAATAATTGATTGGTACTGAAAATAAGTTGTTGTTGTTATTGTTATTGTATGCCTTCAAGTTGGAGCTGACTCATAGCTAAGCCTCCAGTGGCTTTCAGATGCTGTAAATCCCACAGGAGGAAATTGCCCATCTTTCTCCTTTGGAGTCACTGGTAGATTTCAACTGAATGCATTTGGGTGGGTTGGCAGTGTAACTTCTATCTCTATAAGTTAGCGTCTCCTAACCCTGTTGCCCTTTCTTCACTTGTTGTTGTTTTGGACTGTTGAGTCAGAACTGACCCATAGCTGACCCTCTAGCAGGAGTAAGTTCAGAGGCGGTCAATTCTGAAGGAAGAGATTGCCCATCTTCCTCCTATGGAGCTGCTGGTAGATTTGAACTGCATGTCTTATAATAAAGAGTTGTCAGTGCAACTCCTTACCACTAAGCCATGAGAGCTCTGCTTATTTGCCTAGGGAAGTCCAAATGATAGTCAAACAACAACAATAACTAATACCGGTACCAAACAAGGCTGGCTCTGTAGCCAGAAAGCGGAGGCAGAAGGAAAAGGTCCCTGTTGGGAGTGCTTACACTCTCACACCTTGCAGCCCTAACCAGAACTGCTGTGCATTAGGCCCGGCCCATAAAATGCACTCCGAAATGGATCAACTCAGTTTGACTGGCTTCTCTGATGCCACAGAAAAGGCAGGGCTCTTCTTCTTGGAGTTATTGATATTTACCAGGAAATTGGGCAAAGAGCAGTGTAAAAACATCAATATAAACAGCCTGAGAGATGAAAATGAAAACTGAAGATCATTTAATAGCTTTCCATCCATCTTCCTCTTAGCCTGGAATGCAGCTGGACTCTGAGGAGAGATAAGCACCTAGCTTTGGGGCAGTTAGTAAGACCCTTGGCTCTCATTTTGTTTACCCTTCAGAGTACATGTAATCAGGGGTTTATCTCGTAACTGAGTGGCTGGTGGTTTAGTTTGGTTTGGTTTTTAAGAAATAATCTCCTGGCACTGATAGGGAGCACTGCTGTTTAGTGTCTCCAGTCATTCATGGAGATCCTATAGGACACAGTAGGGCCCCCTAAGGCTTACAAGACTGTGACTTGACTTCAGAAGCAGACTGGAGCAACCGATGATTTCAAACCTCTGACCTTTTGCTTAACAGCTAAACACTTAAGCATTACCAAGGCTTCTTGAAGTGTGTGAGTACCTTGCCTTAAAAAAAGGCAACTACCTACCTATGTGATTTGCTCCTATTAAGCCCCTCTTCTCTGCTAATTTGTAACACAACTCTTGGTCCTAGGAAGTATTCTGAGTGAATATGAAACATTTCTGAGTGACAGTGGAGACACTGTTGGTCTGCCATATAGACAGTTTATAACAAAGCATGACATTATTTATTTGAAAACAAAACCAAGATTTTGTAGAATAAGAGACAAGTTAGAGAATAAAATTGCAAAGCTAAAGTTATGAAAAGCTAGGTAGATCATTGCTGCAGTGACGTTATTTCTTCGGGTTACTGGTGAGGGCCTCGACGCCTGAGAGGTGATTTTTAACTAGGAGTAGATTGTTTACTTAGGTGCCTTTAGTTAGCGCTTCCCTTTTTGAAACAGTGAAGTTCTCAAGGCCCTGAAACCACTTTCCATATTGTATAGAAAGTGTTGGACAAATATTTGAATGTGTTGGACACACACTTTATTGTTTTTATTATTATAACTATGCAAAACAAAATTCCGTGTAAAATTCCTGGCAGGAAATGCAAGATAATGAACACCATTATGTTTTGCATTAGTGAGTGTTTTCTCTGTGCTTTGTTCTTTCCTCCACAGCTGCTCACTTCTGTCATGTTGGATTTTTCAGAATTTTAAACAATCCTTACTTAAATAGTCGGTAGGATTTCCTTACAATTTAAAATTCCTTTATATACTTGTGCACACACATAGACACATACATCTCTGTATTGCGTGTGTGTGTGTGTGTGTGTGTGTGTGTGTATACACACACACAACCCTCTTCCCTTCGGATTATTTTTTTTGCCCCCAAAATTACCTGTTACTATTTATGTACAGCCTCTTTTATTTTAGGTTAAAACTGTGGGTATGAAAATATCTTTGTGAGTTGCTAAGCTCATTGCATGCTTTGCACCCTGCTCAGTAGAATGGAGGTGGGTTAATAGAATCTCCCCTTCATTCTACCTGTGTGTAGGCAGCTTTACAAGACTGGCCAACAGGTTCTGCCATAGAAGATTTTATCTTTGACTATTTTTTTTAAAGGCTTTTCCCTATTAGATAGTGAAAGTTTTCTATCTCAGGCAGGCCTCAGAGTTCTGCTGGCAAGAAGGTTTTGAGCTGCTCCAGAATTTTGTGTGGTTTTAAAAAAAAATTGTAAACTCCTAAGCCATTGATTTCAGAAAAAGAGAAGTCATCTTCTGCCCACCCTCCACTGGGGGCAGTTGAGCCCTGTTATTGGGTTGCTTTGAGTTAGAAACAACCAACAGCAGTGGGCGATTCCTGGAAACTTGGCAGGACATGTTACTTTTTATGTAATCCTTATCTTGTATTTCCTCATGGTCTGGGCCTTGTCAGATAGCTGTTGGACTCACAACATTCCGAGATTATAAATGCCAACAAATTGCAGTAATTCTTGAGGGTGTAGACTCCATCAAAATTGAGAACCTGATATTCTCTTAGTACAGGCCGTTGCGTACTCCAAGGGTACACCATGGATAACGAGGGTCATGGCTGCACCATGGTGGTATTTGGTGTCAACTGTGCATATTTTTCATGATTCCAACATGACTGCAGAGGGTTATCTGAGTAGCCACAACATCCATCTAATGAGTGTCCCTTAGGCACTGGCAGAGAACATGAACCTGTTATTGAAAGCAAAGAGTCTGCCTCTGAGCTGTCTTCATGTTTCTTCATTGACCTTATTAGACCTGAGGCTCCTTGCTCAGGTCTGCATGGCTGCTTTGCTGTGTAAGCTTTTAGTATTTGGAGGCACAGATGCTCTTTTAGAGGATTGAGAGCCCCCGTAAATGCATTTCTCAAACCCCAGACCCAGAATCTGGCCCAGGGATCCCTGGATAGTACACTAAGCTGCCAATCAAAAGGTTGCTGTCAGTTCTACCCAAAGGCCCCTTGGAGAGAAAGAAGCCTTGCCGTTTACTTCCACAGTTAGCCATTCCAAACTTTGTGCAGCACAGTCATATTTTGGTGGGGTTTCTGTTTGTTTGTTTTTCCTAGATTATTGATTTTTTATTAGTTTTAATGAAAGTGTACAGAAACTTTGGATTTTCATTACTAGTACTGATTTTTAATGACAGTAAAAATTAACATAAAATAAAATGAACACACTCTAAGAATTAAACATGACCTTTCTTTTCTTTTTCTTTTTTTTAACTTGTGTGCCGTCAAATCAAATCTGACTGGCACAGGAGGAGATTGCCCCCCCCCTTCTCCATCATCTGGTGGATTCAAACCTTGCGCCTTCAGGATTGCAGCACAGCTTCTTGCCACTAGGGCACCAGAGCTCCCTTGAACAAGACATTTCTGCACACATGTATAACTACCGTGTGGATTGGCATACTGACAGTTCTAGCACTCAAGGAGATTTTCCTTTTTTTAATATTACTGTTTTGTGTGTGTGCTCCATCAAATCGGATCTGACTGGTACAGGAGGAGACTGTCCCTCCTTCTCCAGCAGAGCATCTGCTGGATTTGAACAGCAGACCTCTGGGATTGCAGTGCAGCTTCTTGCCACTGGACCACCAGAGCTCCCTAGAAGATTTTCTTATATTCCTTTCCCATCAGTATCCCCTCCACAGGTAGCCTTTGTTCTCATGTCTGCTCTCAGGAAGGGGCTCTGGTGGCCTAGTCCACAGAATTATGTGGCCAACCCGAACGTGCTTCTCGGGCAGTTCATACACAGTGTTGACTCTGAAGAGGAAGGGTGGTCAGTGTCCACCTGGGTGATTGACCGCCTCGGAAGCCCAGTGAGGGCCAGCTCTCAGTCACTTGTAACTCTACAGCAATGAGTTTGAGTTTTTATCATACATTAGTTTTACCTCGTGTTAAATGTTATATGAATAGAATCATGAAGGAGCACAGTATTCTACTCTGACACATGTGGGGTTCCCTTCAGCTGGGGTTTACAGTAACTAGCAAAGTAGAGGGTTGTGGTAGGGGAGAATATGCAACAGAGGCTGGACACAGACAGTAGAGCCGGCAATATTTAGGCTCTAGCTTTTTATTTTAATTTTATATTGGTGTGCATACAAAATTAGTAGATATTGTGTTTCATACTTTCCTTCATTCACATTGTATTTCATAAAATCATTCCCATTCATTGCGTTTTGTAAAATTAATCACCACTAAACTATGTCCACCCTGTATTTTTTAGGTCCCCGCTAGATCTTTCTCATTTCCTTTACCCCCTGTCCTTCCACCCACCAAATTGTGCAACCCCATGACTTCCCCCTCCCATCCTCACCCTTCTGCTCCCATCCCTTCTCCACTTAAACTCCCTCACACGTTTTACTAGTTATCCTTCTATTTTTACAGTAATGGTCTTATGTAGTATTTGTCTTTATGAGACTGAGTTAGTTCACTCAGCATAATGCTCTCCAGTCTCTCCCAAGTTATATAGTAATTTAAGAAAGTGTTACTCCTAAGTGCTTCATTGTGTGAAAGTACCACAATTTCTCAATCCATTCAATTATGGTTGGACATTTGGGCTGTTGCCATGCTCTTGCGATGATAAATAATGCTGCTATGAACATAGGTGTACAAATCTCCATTTGCATCTCAGTTCTAATTTCTTTATATTCCTAGCAGTAGAATAGCTGGGTCATATGGAATCTCTTTGTTCAGCTTTTTGAGGAAACGCGTAGCTACCTTCCAGAGTGGTTGTACCATTTTACAGTCCCACAACAGTGTATGAAAGGTCCCATCTCTCCACATCCTCTCCAACATTTATTGTTTTCGATCTTGTTAAACTTTGCCACTGGTACTGAAGTGAGAAGGAGCTCTGGTGGCTTAGTGGCAAGAAGCTGTGCTGTAATCCTGAAGTCATATGGTTTGAATCCTACCAGTTGCTCTGAGGGAGAAGGAAGGGCATTCTCCTCCTGTGTGATCAATTGCCTCTGAAAACCCACCAGAAGGTCAGCTATGGGTTGGTTTTGACCCCAATGGTACAACAACTGGAGTGAGATGGTATCTTTGTGGTTTTGATTTGCATCTCTCTTATTACCAGTAATGTTGAGCATTTCTTCATATATCTGTTGTGGGATCAGTTTTTTTTTAGTAAAGATTGCCACCTCTGGATTAGTCTATAAACTTCATCTGCCAATAGCCTGCTTTTAGCATAAAGTGAAAACAGATACCAAAAAGACCCAGATTACTATTTATATTTTCCTGTTTTGTTTTTTATTTAATTATTTTAGATAGTTGATTTCTGTGTTGAATTTATATTTCCTTTTTTTCCTCTCTCCAAGAAATACAACCCCAAGGACCCTGCTTTTGCTTATTCCCAGCTGACCCATGATGAGCTAATCCAGCTGGTCCTCAAACAGAAGGAAACAATCAGCAAGAAAGAGTTTCAGGTTCGAGAGCTAGAAGACTACATTGACAATCTGCTGGTCAAGGTCATGGAAGAAACCCCTAACATCCTCCGCGTGCCAGCGCAGGTCGGCAAGAAGGCAGGAAAGATTTGAGTCGTCAGGAGGAAACGTGGAAGCAGATTTGTGAGTTTGTTTCCACCTGCTCTCAAGGTCAAGAACTCAGGATGCCTGACGTGGCAAACAGGCCCCAGATCACCATCCCTCTTGTGTTATCTGTCCAGAGTCAATTCTACCAGTTGAAGCCAGGTTAATTATTACCATGACTCTTTTACTGTACATTCCCAGGGTTTTCTTTTAAATGCCGTTGTGCCTTTGACTATACTGTAAATATTTTATACCTCCCAGACACATGGTCATAAGATCTTCTCTTACGCCATAGATTCAGATGGCGCTAGAGATATTCATGAACCTTAACTCTAGGGTTTTCTTTCTGAGCTTTTGAAATACATATCCTCCAGCCATTAAAACTTAGGAAGAGGTGAGAAAGATCCTGTTGGTGCTGTTACAGATACTTTCTTGGCTTGGACCACAGATACCGAGTTTTAATATCACGTAAACCTAGGGGCCCTTCACACTTGTTTCTTGTTGTTGGGATTTTCTTTTTGACTGGAGTGGAGTACTTTGGAGGAAAACCTGAGTATGCCTTTTAGAATTTGAACCATCTACCTTTTCTAAATAATCAGTTTTCATTAGTCTTCAGCCGTAAAGTGTGGTTCTGTGTAGGCCATGACCAGAGGAATTAGAGAATCACTTTTCCCTCAATTCAGGGAAGTTGGTCAAAGTCCTCTGGTGATAACAGGACTCCTGCTGACTAGAAGGGCCTGTTCCAGTGCCTTGATAAGGGGCTGGCCGGTCTAGGAATGTATGTAAATTGTTCTGTTGGTATGGAATGACTTCAGTAGGATTCCTTTGGCCATTTCTCCCTGTACGTTGGGTGGAGGACGACAGCCCACCAACTCCTCCAGATGAAGGAGCTCCTTGGTTTGCAGGTCAGAGGGAGTCACAGATCGAACCTTGAAGGCCTGCGCTGGGCCATGATGACTGTTGCAATACTTCCAGGTCCTGCTGGAATAGAAACCCAGGTTACTACCAGGATGTTGGTAGTAAGGGTACAGGAAATTGAAGTAAGGGACTTCATCTAGTTAATAAAATTAAAAAGCCTGTAGAAAACAGAAATGCCTTAATGAGGGAAGCCGAATATCAAATTTAATAATAGTAGACCAAATGCTGTATCGGGAAATGAGAGAGGCTTAATACAAGCTGAAGGTCACCTTGTGACACTGGGGCATTCCTTAGGAGGTCACCTTGTGACACTGGGGCATTCCTTAGGAGTCAACATTGTTCTTAGTTTCATCAAATGAATCCCTCCCTCTTGAGATTAACATAAAGAGGAACTTGGCCTTATCTGTAAAAGATTTCACCATTATCCTTTGTTTTGTACTTCCTTGTGATTTCTATATACATACTCAGAGAAGCATGGCTCTAGGTTTTCAGTTGAGAACTGTTGACGCTCTCTGCTCTATCTCATTCCTGGCTGTTTGTCTCTTTATTAATAATTATAAAATGATTCTATTCTTTGGGACCCTCGTTCTGCAATACCTTAACTTTTAACATTGTTGCTATTTGTTTCATCTGTGGTTGGGTCGTCCCTCCTTCCCCCCCTCCCATTTTCCTTCATGCATAGACTCACAGGCATTGTTGTAAAATTGTAGCCAGCAAGATGATAATACTTATGTTTGGATTGCTGTATGGTTTCTGGTTTATTTAAAGCTAGATCAATACACACATTTCTAAGGCACCTGCCTCCTTCTTGAGCAATAGCACCCGTTCAGATTTTCCGTTCAGCTTCACTATCAGTAACCTAGTAGGAGAATCAGAATGTTTCCTTGGCCGTTTTTCTTTTTTCCCCTCCTTTTTTTCCTTCTCCTCCTGGTTGTTATAGAATCTCTTCAGACTTTGACATCTGCCCTGAGGAGAGAAGAATGTAAGTTCTTAGGGGTGAGATGAGAGCGATTATTAAGTGGGGGAGCTCTTCTGTGAATGCTGTGTTGGAGTTAAGGGCAGAGATGACTGGCACGGGGCCTCTTTCCAAGATCGCTTTTGCTACAGTGTCGATTACGTCTGAGCACTTTAATCTGGAGGATAATACTATAACTTGATTTCGCTCATTAGCCTTTAATTATCTACAGCTGTTTTATTTAACTGTCTGACAGTGCTGGGGACTACTGTGAACTTCTCAAATGACTTGTATTTTTATAGTCCTATGAAACATATTTACTTATTAAAAAAACAACACCCAACCTGTTTATTCACTTGAACTCTTGAAAATGTACATGTTTATATTTACTCTGTATATGTTTTTTACTCGATATATATGTATTTTTACTGTGATAACCGGGGTGGGCTGGGCACTCTGGACAGCTTCTCTCCCTCAGAAGAGCTGGCGTGGAGTCCTTGCACCCTTTGGTCACTCGGTCAGTGTTTTTGAGAGGATGCCTCGGGGTGGAGGAGTGAGCTCCTGTGCTCTAAAACGCCACTTGGGAACTCTGGAGAATGAAGGATGATTGACTTCAAGGGTCTCTGTGGCTCTTGCCATGCTGGGAAAACACAGGGCTTGTAGCATCCCTGTACCTCACTGTCTGGTTAGGGAGGAAGACATTTCATTAACTGTCCTTGAAGACGCAACTTTGGAGCAGAGTTTATGTAGGAAAAGCTGTCTCCTCCTCTGAGCTATCAGCAGAGAGCAGTGGAACAGGGCGCTGGAGCTGATGTCTGGGGCTTCCAGCCCTGCGAGACAGGACAGCTGGGAGTTACCCTGAGCTATGTGCTAGGTGCAGGCTTGTACTCCGGCCGCAAGAGTATCTTGGTGACAACTATCACCAGAAAGAGCATTGAGCACTTGCCATCAGCGTTGGATTAAATACCACAAACGCTGCTCAGTGAACCTGGATGCCACACCCCAGAACCCACTGCTGGCAGGTACATGCACACTCACAGCGACCCTGTGTCCTGCAGCCCTCGTGGGCCCGGGCCCCGTGCTTAAAGGATGTGGCTCCTAACCAAAGGTCAGTGGTGTCAGTCTGCCAGCTGCCCCAGAGGGGAAGGATGAGACAGTTTGCTTCTCAGCAAACTCAGTCTTGGAAGCTCTATGACAGTTGTCTGTACTGAGAGGTCGCTGTGATGACTGAAATGTCCCAGTTTTTTTTCCAGGTGTTGTATATGATCTCATTCCTGGGACTTGCACAGGTGTCCCGCCCTCCCTCCATCCCAGCATCTAGCTTCACCAGATAGCATGATGGAGGAGAAACTAGACCTGCTCTCTGCCCTGTGAGTGGAGAGTTATGTGTGGTGCCTCAATGGGATAAACATTTGTGGCTTCCAGTGTTGCTGGCAGTAGGAGCTCAGCTCAGAAGGGCAGAGGAGGAGCAGTGTCTGTGATGCTTGGCCAGCTCGTTGTGGATAGAAAGCCAGAAGCAATATTCAGTTATGCTGGATGTCTCCTCCCTAGACCCACCCAGCCATCTAACCTTCCCCTCCCCTTTTCTTTTTTACAACTACTAGTTAATGATCTTCAAGGTGAAAGATTCATTGCCTTAGGTGGATAACCTAACCCTCTAGTAGCCATGCCAACCTCACCTCTCTGGTTTCTTAGTACTTGCTATGTGAGCTGCTAAGCTGGCTTCTGCCCTCCATTGCAGGATCACTCAATGTTTCTGGATTACAGAATTACTAATCTCCAGTTTTGTTACTTTGGGAACTCTGAATTTCTTGGGTTTTGTTTTTTAAGAAGAACCTAAAATTTCCTAGAACACTAAATAAAATGGTACTACCTTTCAAAAGTTTGTGTCTGTAGTTTAGTATGAATGCAATAATATTCCTTGCCCTACCCCGAAATGCCATTTGGGAACTCAGGTCTCTAGCCACCTTCTGCCACAGAGGACAGAGGTCTCTGATCCTTACATCCCTCATCCTGGCTTGCAGGGCGCCGTGGTGTTTACCAGATCAACCTCATTGAGTTTTTGCCATCAGCATGCAAAGCCACTGCCTCTTTTGCACCAGGTGCCTTATGGCTGAGCACATGAGCCAGGATCCTCCCTTGACTTCTTTCCTCACCACCACCGGTTGCCCGGAGAATGGGTTCTTCACGTTAGGGGCACACGTTTAATTCCGTTGGCTTCAGTGAACTTAGTTTATCCATTTCCGAGTAGAGGGCTGTACAAGGAGACTCTGGAGCTCAACTTTTCCAAACACAGCCTGACCTTGTGGAGGGCGGGTGCGCCTGCCCCACAGGGCAGTCCTCGCTCTAGGGCCTTAGACCTCCCGAAGGGTGGCGGGAGTCGGGTGGGGGCCGCAGGAAGGGGGAAAGAATTTTCTTTTTTATACATAAAAGTCACAGTGTAGAGGGACTGGGGCAGGCCGTGCCTGGGAAGCTCCTGGGTAGGGGGCTGTTGAGGCTCCCCTGAAAGCACCCCTAATTTTGGTGGAAGAGCTTGTTCACGTCAATGATGGGACAACCACCTAGTGATATAAAAACAGGTTCTGTTAAATACAATGCAAAATCCTCCAGGTTTGATCAGAAACCTCCAAGGCCAAGAAGAGTGAAGAAAACCCAAGGCCATTTGGTCCAAAGGAGTAATAGACAGTATGAGCCAGAGCTCGATGGGTGAGTGGCTGCCACGGCTGCCCCACCCTAGAAGGGTTCACAGCAGAATGTCCCCCGACAGAGTGGAGGAAACGGTGAAACAAAAATCTTTTGGGGGAAAAAAGAACCAACCTCGCTGGTCTGATACAATGGGGGTACCCTTGGGACTCTTGACTCTTAGTTACCCTTCAAGCCTGGAACGGAAATCACCCCCACAACCCAATGCTAAGCCGGGGAAAATAGGCCTGTATGGTGATGATTAACACCAGGGAAAAACAAATTCTTCAAGCTTTACAAGAACAAAAGGGCAATGTTTGTTCAGGGATAAAGTGTAGAAGGCAGGAAGGGCTAGAAAAGGTGGATGAATGGAAATTGGCAATAGCACAGGCAGCACAGGAGAAGAGAGCTGCTGCAGCGCGGGAGATGCAGCCCATGCTACACACAGTACATG